TTTTTTTTTTCATCAGAAAACGTCATTTTATATATTTATTTACGTTTATTTATTTATAAAATTCGAACATTGCCGTACAGTAAATTAAGATTTATATTAAAACATTGAAAACACAAATGAGCGTACGTCACGAACATTTTATAAAATAATATTTCGTTTTATATTTATTTTTTTATTCATCATTATCGTTATTATGTACGACTCATTTATGTTTTCAAAGTTTTAATATAAATTTTAATTTACAATATTATACGGCAATGTTCGAATTTTATAAATAAATAAACGTAAATAAATATATAAAATGACGTTTTCTGATGAAAAAAAAATTAATACTGCGTGGTCTCGAACTCTCTTGGTCAGATGTAAAAGTAGTACCGTGCGCCTCAGGCCTCTCGGCCACCGCACTTCTTGCTTTATCCCTACTTATTCACAGTACTTACAGCGCAACAACCGATTGCGCAACTTTACATGCAAATTTCTCTTAAACGAGGACCCATGCACTCAAATCCTTTTACACTTTTTACACTCTCGACCCCACCTTTCGAATGGTATAGGTTATATTCCAAATGGTATTTCGCAATTCGTGCCATCTCCTTGTTAGTTAAAAAAAAAAAGTAACTTACCCAACCCTGTATAATATCAATTATGTATCTTGTAGGAAAATATATAATAAGCACAAATAAAAATAAAATTTATAAAAAGTACAACGGAATAATAAAAATGTATAACATTTTATCTTCGTCTGATGATGAAGATTTTGAAATAGTACATAGAAGACCAAGACAATTTAAAGACCGTAGAAATTATTTCGAAGAATTAGATGACATCGAATTTAAAATGAGATTTCGTCTAAACAAAGAAACAGTATTAATATTATTGCATCATATATATGATGAATTACAATTTAAGACCGAAAGGTAAGTTTTGATACTTTTATGAAGGAATACGAATCTTTTTATTTGTGATTTTATTATTGAAGATTTTTAGAACTCTAATTATTACATATTGATATCATAAAACTTAATATTATTCCATTATCCTTCAATAAGATGTGAACTTTTTATAAATGTCTATATATCTACTTATAGTATATATGTGGCAAAATGTACAATTTCCATATAATAATGTCAAATAATAGGTTTTTAAATAACACACAGAAATTGAAATATTAAAAATAACGGAATAAATATGTAATACACAAATTATATCTATATTTAGTTTAACTTAAATAATTACAAGAGAGAGAATTTGTATAAAAACATCTATAGATTTATAATAACAATACATCTATAATAATAATAATATATTTTTTTACTAAACATAATATTTATTTTAGTCTCTTCTTTATTTACCAGATACGTATATATTTTTTTATCTGCAGAAATAATGCTATATCACCAATGTACCAACTACTTCTGGCGCTGCGTTTATATGCTACGGGATCTTTCTTAATTACAATGGGAGATTTTGTAGGAGTTAGTACGACAAGTGCACATAGAATTGTGCACAGAGTTAGCGCAGCAATTGCTCGTTTAAGACCTAATTTTATAAAATTTCCAACAACTCAAGCAGAAATTCGAAGAGAGCAATTAAAATTTTTTAATATTGCTTGTTTTCCAAAAATTATTGGTTGCATTGATTGTACGCATATACGAGTTCAATCATTTGGTAATGTAAAAATTTGATTTATTATTTATTCCAATAATATCGATTTATTATATTTTGAGGAAATATAATAGATTATTTTATTTCTTAGGTGGGCCACATGGTGAATTGTTTCGAAATCGAAAAGGATATTTTTCGCTCAATGTCCAAGTAATTTGTAACAGTAACTTAGAAATAACAGATATAGTTGCCAGGTGGCCTGATTCAGTACATGATAGCACTATTTTCCACAAGTAGAGTATATAGGCCGGTTCTAGGCCAAATTTGAGTTTGAGCTTTTTTTGAGAAGTCAAATTTGAGTTTGAGTTTTTCCCGTAAGCACTTTTGAGCTTTTTTCCGTAAGCATTTTTGAGCTTTTTTTTCGTAAGCACTAAATTTTGAATCAGGTTTACCAACATAAAACACTAAGTGAAGGGTGATGACGTCACAGGGTGAGAGGGGTATGACGTCACGGGAGGGGGAGGGTGACGCCGCAGAGGGACAGGAAAATGGATTCGCAGGGTGCTGACGCATTCGCGCGGGAAGAATTGCGGTGGTCGCCGCGGGGTCAATGGCTGCCAGGGTCCTCCGAACGCGGTAAGCTAACGCGCGCGGTCCTCCCCCGCCGCGAGGTCCGTCGGGCGC